GCCCATAGACAGGTGGGCGAGCCTGGCGCCCTGTCCTTCTTCGCCTCCCATTTTGGGGACACTCCCCTTTTTTGAACTCCCTGTCTTCTCGGGGGTGACGGGTCGAGTATGGTTCAGTACGCTTCCTCTCCCGGGGCAGGGTCACCACTCTGAGGACCCCACCAACAGCTCCACACGTCTCCACAACGTCGTTTTCACCTTCCATGTTTCCAGCCTCTCAGAGACATGTCCCCAAATGGTGGCATAGGTTTCACGGTATTTCCCCAAAGGAGGCAGTATTTTATAACTGTCCCCAAGCAAGTGCCCTACCTCGTTCTTTTCCGTGGAATAGGGAAGAATGACGAGGGTCAGCCAGTTTCAGAATAACGAGGGGATAGTCTGGTTGCTAAGCCTTTGAGTTTAAATCTGACTCGTTTCTCTGGCAGTTGGAAATTTTAGATTGGGAGTCGTCCCTGTGATTCCAGCTATGGGTTCCTCCGCATCTACTCCTGCTGCTGCAGCAAACACCCCAAATGCTTCAGATCATCAGCCACCTTCACGGCCTTCAGGATGCCCAATGCATGAGAGGCAAAAGAAAGGTAATTTGCCTGTTGGCTAGAAAATTAAAAGAAAGATAATAGTTCTAAATGAAGAGGCTTATAGTTTGCTAGTGAGGGTTATAAACAAACCTGGGAGGAAGGCACCCTGGGACTGGTCCTAATTTTGCCACTCATTAGACATTATTATAAACAACTTTATGTCTCAGTGTATCATCTGTTAGTGTGCTACAATAATTTTCACAGAACTGTGGTGATGATTAGCTGAGATCATGCATGAAAACCTAGCAGTTGTTCCATAAATCAACCTCATCTCTCCAAAGTTTACCTGTACCTAAGTCATTGGTTCTCAGCCATCCATGGGGAGAGCCATCATTTAAGAGGACATTTATTCTTATTGATATATATTTTGGGTTGTCACAGCTGAGAGGAAACATAGTGGGGTGCTGACATACACAATGGAGTGGGAGCAAAGATGCCACTGAACATCCTACAGCCATAGACATGGATGGAATCTTTGGTCTCTAAATAAGAATGCCAGAGCTAGAAGCCTCAATCTAGCTGTTTCAATAAAATCCTCCCCTATCTGTTATAGCCTTTGTCTAGGTCAAAATAAGCCTTCATCAGGTGAATTTATAGACCATTATGTCAGTGCAAGGTTGGAAACAAAACAAGTTCTTTAAGTAGTGCACATCTGCTTACGATAGCTCAGATTTGAGCCAGTGTGGTATGTTTACTGTATGTTCAAGGTTACTGAATGCTCGACTGGCTTTGGTGGCACATGCCTTTTATCCCAGCACTCGGGAGGCAGAGGCAGGCAGATCTCTGTGAGTTTGAGTCCAGCCTGGTCTACAGATCAAGTTCCAGGACAGCCTCCGAAACAATACAGAGAAACCCTGTCTTGAAAAACCAAAAAAAAAAAAAAAAGGAAAGAAAGAAAGAAAATACTGCATGCTCATGCTTCCAGTGTCATTCTTTCTCTAGGTTAACCAGCCCACTCCTAGAGGTCAGCACTTAATCTGTGACAAGCTGGGTTGTGTTTCTTGACTAGGAGAGAAATAGCAATGCACATGGTAGACAAAAATCCTTTGCCTGATAACTTACTTCTCACCTTTATAAGCCTGTATGGGAGACTTTCTGCTAGATTTATAGTCAAGGAAACTAAGGCTCAGAGAAACTAACTTATATACTCCAAGTCATTTGGCTAGGAAGTGGTGAAGCTGCTGAAAATTCTGTAACCTTGTCAAGGACAGATCCCATGTTTCCAGTATTTCTCCTTGTAGAAATTCAGACAAAGCAGACAAAGCAAGTGTGCCTTTCCTCTGAGCTTCTGTTCTCTAGTAGTCTTCTTTATGATTTTATCTTATATGTTACAGAGAGTTGTCATCCTGGTTTATTTCCATTAGTAAAGAATGTATTTGTAGGAGACTAAAGGGCCTAGGTTATATAAAGTAGAAAGTATAGTACTGTTTTCCTTCTAATATTCACCTAGAATCAATGCTTTGGGAAGATTGGTCTTTTAATGATTCAGAGGGAGGTATTACAATTATGGTTTCACTCCTAAAGTGAACGACTATCTGGGGTGTTGGAAAATGAAGGCCTGGGAGGAAAGGCAAAGAAAATGAAAAGAAACTTGTCTTTTCTATATATGACATCCAGAATTCAGCATATTCTTTATTTCCTACTGGTGCCTGGAACAAGGGAAGATCCCATGAGAGAAGCAACTGTTATTCTGGAACACAGATCTTTAAATAGCCTCCTGTTCACCTAATGTTTAGACAAGCTTCTTAACCCCCATACCTGCCTGGCTCAGCATCCTAGGAGCCTGGGCATTGACTGCTACTTGTGCTGCTGTGTTCACAAGATTCAGAAGCATGAATCTATCATGGGACATTTTCTTAAAAATCTGCCTTTTCTTGGTAATCTTTTGTTATCTGCTGAAAAGGATTAGGACCTCAAGTGAGTGGTAATTTTCTGTAGCTTACTTGAGTCTTGGAATTAAACTGGAGCAGGGTGGCATTTTACATTTTTCTGTCTCAGTAAAGTCTGTTCATTTTCTGCTCCTGTACCCACTGCATCAACAATAGATGCTTAGATAGTGGCTGCTTTTTCATTGAGGCCAGGCTTGTCTGGAACTAATGGCTAGAAGTCAGAGAGACCCAATGAAGTATGGCCAGCCCTCAATTAGGTTCCTCTATCATATCTCAGCTGATGGTTCAAGTAGGAACCTTGTAGGAAGTTACTATTAACATGTAATAGGCAACACCCACTGCTGAATCTGCAGAATAGGTGTTTTGTTTTGTTTTTGCTGGGGGCATGACAGAATTGAAAAATGTATATCTTTTAAAGGGAAAGTATATTTGTAGCATCTTGTCATCTTTAGGATTTTAGAAAGTTAACTTGACATCTTTAAGTAGAAGAAACTTCATTTTTCCCCTGTGTTGACTGAGTTTTAGTCCTTTAAGGTCCCAACTAAGAGAACCCCCCTCCACTGTTGGTATGGTATCTTAGCAGTAACAGTGCTTTTTTTGTTTTATTTTCTTTTGTTTTGCCAGACAGGATTCCAGAACTCACTCTGTAGACCAGTCTGGACTTGAACTCACAGAAATATGCCTGCCTCTTCCTCCCAAGTGCTGGGATTAAAGGCGTGTGCTACCACCACCCGGTGCTTTGGAGTTGTCAAATTGCTGGGGGGTGGGGGTTGTTTTTGCGGTTTTTTTCTCTGTGAGTTCGAGGCCAGCCTGAGATTAAAGATGTGTGCCACCACCACTGGGCAGTAACAGTATTTTAATCCTTGATTATTTCAGACTGTCCAGTGACTGCAGTAGCATCTGATCCAACCAGTGAGAGCAAAGCACACTCTGCACCTGCCCACCAAGATCGGGCCTATGAGTACGTGGAATGCCCTGTTACTGGTGCTGCAACAAAGGATAAGGAGAACCTTGATCCTTCAAATCTGGTAATTGCCCTCATCTCTTACCAGGGCATTTTATGTGTTCATACATTCTCTACCATGGTCAACCGTGTCTCCTCAAACTATTAACTAGAATAAATCTTTCCTGAATTTCTTCTTGCTAGTTATTTCATCACAACAACAACAAAAAAAGTAGTATGACTAAAATACATCAGGGATTTGAAACTCTGATGTTGGTTTAATAGGAACTTGTACTTCTTATATGGTGAATTATTTTCCAGGATGTACTGATTATTTTTTGGTTTATATCTTAATGCTGATATTCAGATACAGTCCACTGATTTTTCTTTAGATGCCACCACCTAATCAGACTCCATCCCCAGATCAGCCATTTGCTTTGTCTACCTCAAGAGAGGAGTCATCTATTCCAAGAGCAGACTCTGAGAAAAAGTGGGTTTACCCTTCTGAACAGATGTTCTGGAATGCCATGCTACGGAAAGGGTGAGTGTACATATTGTTTAGAAGATAATTTGCTTGCCTGCTACACTTACCTCAGAGTTAAATGTTAAAGAGGTTTTTTATTTTTTGTTTTTTTTTTTACCTTAATCATAGAGTTTATTACAGGGCGGGAGAGGGAGAGACAGAGTTCAAGAGAGGAGACAGGAAGGTAAGAGGGTGTGAGACTCGAGTTTTTTTAACCTCCAAAAATACAGTAATTTTTAGTGAGTTAATCAGTTTATAATAGAATTTTCAGAGTTATCAGAATGTAAGTATAAAGCCAGTTTTCAAGGTCAGGGATTAAACCAGCGATGTGTTTAGTCAGATTCCCTGAGAACGAGGGTAGCTGATAATAGAAGTTCTGTTCTGAAAATTGGGAAGCTTGAAATCCAGAAATACCTAATATTTAATTTTAGGTTGAAAATCAAGTAAAACCTAATATTGTAGCTCAAGCAAATAATGCAGGAATTCCTTCTTGGTTTTAGAAAGGACTGAATCCCTTGTGTTATACTTATGCCTGTAATTGATTCAGTAGGATCTACCCTGAGCAGGACAATGTGTTTTACTCATATCATAGCAATCATCTTTTTAGAAATATAAAAAGAAACACTTATATAAAATGCATAGGAAAAAGTTGGCAAATCATTTATCAATGGTACTAAATGAATAATGCCACTCTAAAAATAGATGATTCTGCTAGTATGACTTTTGGGAATTCCATGAAATAAGATTAAGATAAACCTTCAATCTTTGATTTCAGTGCATAAAAAGTGTAAACAATTTTATGAATGCATGGAGTAACTTTTTGGCTTTATCAGTAATTGTCAGGTTTTGCCACATGTTCTTTTTTAGGTGGAAGTGGAAGGATGATGATATTAGTCAGAAAGATATGTATAATATCATTAGAATTCACAATCAGAATAATGAGCAAGCTTGGAGGGAGATTTTGAAGTGGGAAGCTCTTCATGCTCGGTAAGTATGTTTAAAATTTTTTTAAAAAGTTCCTGCATCTTTTTTTACTTCATATCAGCCTTCCTACAGTGTTAATATTTAAATAATTTGTTATTCATTTTTATAGCAGTGATTATTCTTGTAGCATAAACTACAGTTTCTTACTCCCTGAGTTCTAAGTGCAGATTGCAGGGAATTTAGAGTAAAGATGGCTCAGCTCTGCTCCATCCTAGCTTAGGTCTCAGGTGGTCAGAACTGACTGCTGCAGTGCTATGGGGTAGAGTTTCCTGAAGGCATGACCATATACCCATCTGGCAGAGGGGTATCTGCTCTAAACGTGGTGTTTCAGCTGCCTTACATCACAGTAGCTGGGTTCCAGAGGCTGAGTTCTCCAAAGCACCAGACAGAAGCCAAATCTCCTTTTTTGATCTAGCTAGAAAGACTCAACTATCCCAAGCCTGGCCAGATTCAGGTAGAGATACTTTCAGTGAAAGAAGTATGGTATGTCAGTCATTGAAAGAAAAGCAAAACACATTGGAAATGAGACTAAATTGCTTTGTGATTCAAGGAATGTAGAAAAGAACTTTTTCTTCTTTCAGCAGTATTTGGAACCCTTGTAAGTACTGACCTTAAAGATCTGTCTTCACATGGGCCCCTTGTCTCAGAGAGAATAGGTCAGTTGAAAGAGTAGAGATGCTCCGTATCACCTGGAAGGAGTGTTGCAACTCTTACAAACTGGACTTGCTAGTGGTGGGGGACTGACCCAGTCAGAATGGGTCACAGACTTAATATTTATGGAATGATGTGATACTGCTGGTTTGAGACTACCACCTCTAGAAGTGGAGGGATAGGGAGTGTCTTCACAGAGAACCAGATCCTTTCATAATCTGGTTTACATTTCAAATTCCTTCCAAAGCATAATTCGTAAGTTTCTTGGACAAAAGCCACTTACTGCTTTATTTTTAAGGCAGTCTCTTTTGTCTTTTGTATTTGCATTGAGTTTTGCAGTATTAGCACTATATGAATGTAGCTAGCTGGATCCCAGGTGTAGGGTGGGTATACTTTCCTGGTGGTAACCTCTGACCTAGAGGAAAGACCTGGCTGACTAACTCAGATGCAAGAAGCTATCATAACCTAGGTTAAAAATGTACTCTAATTAAAGCCACCTGCTCATTGCTTGCAGCCTGATTTTAAAAGCAAAGAAAAGAAGCAAAAGAAATTTCAGCTTGTCAATTTGATCACCTCTAATCATTTTGCAGATTTCTGGCAAAATTAGCTCTGTCATAAAAGCCCCCTCTAATGTCTCCGAAAGAAAAGTTATGTAGATTTAGTTCACAGCTTTGCCTGTGACCCTCTTGAGAAGAGATAGTAGAAAGTTAGTAGCTCACACTCAGGATTTGTTGTACTCTGGGTATGGATTCTTTTTTCCTTTTACGTGGTAGGAATATAGCTTGTCTTACCAATGGGAGCAACTAACAAGATAAGTGGTTCCTATCTTAGTAGACCAGTACTCCAACCACCATCAGGGAATCAAGCTTGTGTCTTTCAAGGGCAGGATCATGTAGTCCTCTATACACCTATACATGTAGAGAACAGACCCTTAAGGGAACTCAGTCAAGGTCTCTAATTAGGACCCTGCCAGTGTTCAGGTTACTTACAAAAACGGGTTCAGCAGTACTTGCAACAAATTCCTGGAAGTCAGCCCCCATTCTTTTTTGCTTCAAAAAGTCTGTTAATTGGTTGAAATGAAACAATGAAATCCTCTCACAGAATTGGACAGGTTCCAGGACATCCAAGGATAACAAAACCCATGTGTGCTGAAAATCTCTTATATTATAATTTCATTGCATTTTGATAAAATACGTGTATATCTTCCTACATATTTTAGACCGTCATTTATAAATAACTAAAATAATGTAAATGTAAATAGTTGTATTGTTTTATTTGGGAAAAATGAAAAGGAATAAGTCAGATATGCTTGGAACAAATGCAGAGTTTTATGTTTATTACTATTTTGTTTGTTTTTGAGATGCTCATGTGGCCCAGGAAGACCTCTGTGTAACCTAAGGATAGCCTTGAATTTGTGAGCCTCCTCCTGAGTGCTGAAATTACAATTATACATTTCAATACCTGATTTATATGGTACTGAACATTGAACCCAGAGCTTTATGCATGGTGGACAAGTGCTGTACCACTGAACTATCTGCCCAGTCCTCTGATACAGTGTTTTTCCAAGTAATTTTAGTGTACAGTTGGTTGAATCTGTGAAAATAGAGCCCATAGACCCAAAGGGCTGACTGTATATAGCAGTTTGTGTTGTTTCGCTGAAGAAACCCTAGCTGCTTTTTGCAAAAGAGAAAGAAGATCCACAATACATGACACTTTTTCTGAGAGTGTGCCTGTGCCCTTGTCCTAGATGAAAAGGTCCTGCTTCCTAACTGGCAGGAAAGCCAAGTAGATGCACAATCCAAAAGAAAAATGTTTTCAACAAATAGGGCCAATTTATTTTAATTCTGTTATAAGTTACAGTTCTCTGTCAATGTGACAATATAGCAAATAAATACAGAAAAAAAAGACATTACTACAAAACTGGAACATCATTCTGTCAAAGGAAAGAAAATATTTTAAACTATTCTTATTTGGGCATTTTCAGTGAGTGTCCTTGTGGCCCATCATTGGTCCGATTTGGAGGCAAAGCCAGAAAATATTCACCAAGGGCAAGAATTCGTTCCTGGATGGGGTAAGTGTCAGTATAGAACTGCTGTTGACATTCCTTAAGCCATGGTCAACATTCTCACCACCAAAACCAGAGTGTAAAAAAAGTGGTTCAATCTTCTAAAATTTCATATCCAGCCTATATTTCTTTATCTCCTTGAGTTTACCCATAGATGGGCAGAATTATGGTTAGCTTCGTACTTCATTCTCCAAGCATTAAATTGTGCTTTTGGGGGGGGGGATCCTTAGAACTCTTCTTATGGTCTTTATCTTGCCTCATTCCTCCCTTGTCTTGTAGTGTAATTGGGCTACTTCGTACACTGGATTTCTCCAGCCTCCTAGCTAGCCTTCTGGCCTGGGTCTCTTTCCCATGAACCTCATTTCTTCATGGGCAGATGGTCTGCCATACACTCATCATAGTTCTTCAGTGCCACATTCTCTAAGCACCATAGACTGATTGCCCAAGTCTCATCTCCCCTGTTAGGCATTTGCATGTGAGAGCAGGAATGTGAACATGTGCCGTTTTCCAGTCTGTCTTTTTGCTTACACCCAGACTAAATGCAGACCAGCACTTTAACATTCACTATTGTGTTTTCATTTCAGGTATGAGTTGCCTTTCGACAGACACGACTGGATCATCAACCGTTGTGGCACAGAAGTTAGGTATGTGATTGATTACTATGATGGCGGCGAGGTCAACAAGGACTACCAGTTCACCATCCTGGATGTGCGTCCTGCCTTAGATTCATTCTCAGCAGTATGGGACAGAATGAAGGTGGCGTGGTGGCGCTGGACTTCGTAAACACGAATTTGTTTGTTATGAAAAAACTGAAAATATTTTTTGAGAAAGATGTTAAACTATTTTCCCCAAACTAAATGCACTCATAATGTTACCAAGGGTGCTTTTCAAGTGTGTAATCAAACTTGATCTTTCATGCAAAGATGCAATGTTCCATTAAATTTTGAGTCACATTTTCCATTGCAGTTGAAAATGTGCATTTAAATTTTTAAATTTAATTTTTTCCCGTTTGGTATAAGTGGGGAATGGTCCCTTAGTTTTCCCACTAACTGCAGTATTTCATGTTATTTTCTATAGACAGTATGGAAAAGGAGCTTTTAAAAAAGCATAGGAAGCTGTTTTTATCCTTACTGTTTTCTCAGGAGTATTTGAAAGTGTGATGATTTTACCTGCCAAATATTTTAAACATACTCATTATAAAAGAAGCACTTAACCTTTGTTTTAAAAGTAACCAATATTTCTTAAACTCCTATAGTCTAAGTAGCAACCCTGAACAAAATGCAAATGTATATTCTGAATGTACTCTGCAAGACTAAGACATGTCACTAAGACATGTGCTAGTGTATTTTTCAGATTTGAACTTGATAGAAGTTTCAGCTCGATGATACATGCAAATTTCAAAATATTTTGCTTCTCATTCCTGTTCTAATTTGTAAATAACCATTAATGAAAAGTTGGTCTCACTGTCCGTGAAAGTTGACAAGTTATCTTGTTATTACATCACATCCCAGTCCATTCTCCTACCAAGAGCTTGCACACAGTAGCCTAATGTAAACATTGAAAGCCTGGCCCGAGTCACAGGGTCATCAGTGTCCCTTTGAAAAATAAGATTATATTGGCTAAGTGTTAGAATTCATAAAAGGTGTTTTTTTCTTAGATGTGGAATATTTGCATCAATTCACCATTAGTTTTGTGTTTGTTTTAAGCAAGCAGTAAATTTGCTGCTGAAAAGTGGTTGTTTTAGTTATAATTATAGCAGCATGTTAGAAATGACTTGTTTTTTTAAGCGTTGATACAGTGAAAATTTTTAATTTATCCTAAATACTGTCGTGTTAAATTAATGGATGGAGTTGGTGTCTTTGAGTTACTAATTTGATGTAGATTTCTTTCTTGTGTGATGCTTCAAAAACCCAACATTTAAAAATATTTGTATTTTTTAAATAAAGTTGACAGTAAAAAGGTTCTGAAACTGCTCAGAGTGACTTTGTAGTTATTTACTATTTTTTTCAGACACAGTCTTCACTAAATGCAACATTGGTCTCATCTGTTAATGATATAATTTTAAACTGCCTAAGAATGTAATCATTGTTGGCCCTTTTCACAACTGCTATTGATTGTGTATAGGATAAAGTATTTTGAAAAACAGCATTATGACTGGAAACTGAAAGTTAAGCTGCATGCAAGGGTTCTTGATGTTACAATGATAAGGTAATGTGAAAGTCAACTGTCAAGTAAACTCAATTACTGGATAAACAGTTTTATACACTCTTTCACCACTATTAGAAAAGACACCTGCTGAGTACTCAAGAGTTGATTTGTGGCTAGATTACACTTAAGTCTGTCTAGGGGGTAGAACTGTGTGCTCTGATAGTTTGTATAGAACTTGAAATTTATTTTGGATTTTCTCCAATATTTAAACATCTTTTATCCGTGGAAATGGCATCATTGAAAATCAGGACATCCTAATGAATGTCAGGCAAAGTAGTAACAAATAAGGTAGGCTCAAATTAGGTTGCATATTAGCATTTAGTATTCCTACCAATTCACTAGCTGTCATTTATGTGATGTTGATATACACTCTGCATCACACTCAGGATACAAAATTGCAAAAGATGTATCCCCTACCTATAGAAATTCTATTTTTCAGAGCTCAGTCTGTAAACAAAATCATGGTATTACAGAATTCTTAAGAATTCACCAGGGTACTAATGGGGTTAGGGATATGCATAAGTACTTTTCAATATATTTAGTTACTGTGGTGATTAGTGTAGTCCAAGTTGACAGAATTCAGAATCACCTGGGAAAATGGCTAGGCATGCCTGTGGGGGACCGTCTTAATTACATTAATTGAGGTGGGAATATGCACCCATCGTGGGCTGCACGTTGCTCCATTGGTATCCTGAACTTTGTAAAATGGAGAAAGTTAGCTGAATGCTAGCAACTGCATACATCTCTGTTTCTGGATTATTTGCATAAGGTAATCAGCTGCTTCAGGCTCTTGCCTTTTTAACTTCAACAGCATGAACTGTAAGCTAAAACCCTTTATCAAGTTGCTTTTATTGGCCTATTTATCACAGCAACAGGAATGGAAACCAAGGCAATTATCAATTTCTTTGGTCCCTGATGTGTTTACCTTCTAGGAGAGTTACTGCTTCCTATTGAAAGTGAAACACTCTATTTATTTCCTGTCTAAACCTTGTCATGACTGTCAAAACCATGTTCAATCATTTGTGTTGCTATAAGTTTGAGGTTCATTGTGAGTAAGAGGGCATACCCTGAAGGCTGGTGGCTTGTTTGAGTGCTCTCGTTACTTGCTCTGTGACATTTCTGTCTCTGGGCCTCAGTTTTCATGGCTACAAAATGAGCAGACAGAGTTGTTTCATAAGTTCTGTGAGGTGTTATCTTGAATGCATAGCCCTTGGTGCAGAGAGCCCAGTACCGGCCATCCCCACAGCTGACAGGACAAATAAAGGGAGAAGTCAAGCTAGGCTAGAAGTCAAGGTGCCGAAACACTCCACAGGAAGAATCTGGCAAGATCAGGAGGCTCTTCTGATTTTGTGTCAATTCTAAGTATTGCCAGGTGGATATATAGATGCTCAATCTAAGCAACCTCATGTTATTTAAAATGGCTAAAGGAATATCCTTTTAATGATACATAGACATAAGGAGATATGTGGTTATGCACGTCCCACTGGGCAAGCATGATTAAGCTTAATTTCCTAATCTAAAATGTAACAATATAAACACAAACCAACTTCATAAATAGAAATTAAGTAAAACCAACTAGAGGACCACCAAGAATGCTGCCATGAAGCTGGACAGGACTGGGAAAATACTCAGAGAAATTCAATTCTTTCACAGCTTTGCAGTTTTTTTTCCCCATAAAAATCCCTGCTACAAAAGTGAACCGGAATAGTAGATGGTATATTGTGTATATGTGTCATGTAAGGAATAAATGATTGCTGCCATGCATCACCCACAAGAGCCAGTGGCCTTTGCTCCTTGCAGAACTGGTGCATGATGCTGTTCATGGGTTTTCAGATAAAATCAATGTATAATCATTTCATAATTTGACTTTAGCTGTTTTTGAAGTGTGGCATGAAATTATTTTTAAAAAGTAGTACACGAGGGAATTTGAGATTTTGCTGCCTCTCCCATCTCTCTTCCTTGTGTACTTTCCTCAGCCAGGCTGTTCTCAACCTTTTGTAGATCAGAATTCCTTGGAAGGCTTGTTAAAATGCAGGTGCCTGGGCTCCCACCCAGGGTCCTTCTTCTTGGAGGCATGGAACAGCTGGGAATTTACCTTCCTAACAAGCTGCCAGGGGATACTGATGCTATTGGTCCAGGCAACAGGTGGATCTCATTTGCCCCTGGCATCTATTGGGCTTCCACCTACTACCAACTTTGCTACTGTGTTTCTAGTTGCTACATAGTGCCACAGTCTTGGGCCAAAGTTCTAAGTAGGAGGTGTGAAAGGAAAAGTTAAATGTAAATACCAGTTTCCCATCTTGCTTGTTGACCATTTCTTCCCTGAAGCACCTCTTGTTCTCAGTTCTGAATGGTGCTTCATTTGACCAAGTTTTGTTCTAATAACAAAAACTTTTCCTTGGAAAGTTCATCTCCCATGACTTTTGTAGGTGATTACAGTGGGGGTGAAGGCAGTGCCCCAGACCTATTGAGAAAGCTCTTGTACTCTGTGCTGCTTCTATGTGAAGTGGTGGTGGCCACTCTCTTGAGCAGGTGAGATGTTTGCTCTTGCTCTGAGTTGTCTCTGATACATGACCTTTGCTCACCATCTTAGTTTGCTGGGTAGCTATAACCAAATGACACAGACGGAGCAGCTGTAACAACAGAAATTTATTCTCACAATTCTGGAGGCCAAAAGTAGAAGACCAAGGGTCATGTTCCCTCTAGCAGAGGATTTGATCCATATCCTGCTCTTAGCTTCCAGATATTCCTTGGCTTGTGGAAGGCTAACACCTGTCTTCATGTGTTTGTTTTCTTTCTCTCTCTCTCTCTCTCTCTCTCTCTCTCTCTCTCTCTCTCTCTCTCTCTCTCTCTGTGTGTGTGTGTGTGTCTTGTGCTCACTTGTTCATTTACATTCTCTCTCTCCCCCTCCTCTAGTGCTTGACTATTCATTTGCACTATTTCCTTCCCACCCCCTCTTTCACTTGCTCACTAACTCCCTCCCTCTCTCTCCCCTCCCTCTCTCTCCCCTCATATGCTCTCAACAACACCCCCCCTTTGTGTACTTCAATTACCCTTTTTATTAGGATATGAGTTCTAGTGGAATAAAGCCTCTTCAAAACGACCTCCTCCTAACTTTATCATATTCGAAGACCTGATTTCCAGGTAAGTTTCCATTTATAGATCCCAGTGTGTTAGTAGTACAAGACCATCTTGGGGGAGGACAACACAATCCAGGCTATAATACTTTGACACAATGATGGGGAATATTCTTCAGTGTCCAGTTCTGGCATCTAAGCACTGCCCCTTCTGAATGCTCCAGTGTGTTAGTTGGAATACTTGGTTCAGCTATGATACTGTGAACCAGTGCTGGTCCCTGGCAAGCTTCAAACTTCTGCCTAGCTAGGTGTGCCCCGCCTTCTGTATCTATACAAACAGGATAACCAGCTCTTGTGTAAGAGGGATGGAATTCTTTTGGTGGGAGGTAACAGAGGTAAGACCCACAAAGCACCTGGAGGTAGAAGCTCAATGGCTTGCCTCCCCATGGATATTACAATGATTTGAGATCAAGCAGTCCCTGGAAACAGATTTGCCATGTTTCCTTCCCACAAGAAAAAAAACTTTCTTAATCCACTCCTACTTTGATTTACCCTCTAATGGAATAGATTAATCTCCACTGTGTGGAAACAAGGCAGCTTTGCCCCCACCCCTAATGGGACATCTGAGGGTTCAGACTTGCATCTCACTGATAAGCCCACACCCAGAGAAAGTTCACTCCCCAACTGTATAGGAACCAACACCATAGCTCCTGGTTGCAGAAAAGAAGAGCTTTGAACTAAGGCTAGGGCTCAGTTGGGAGTGTGCTTGCTTAACCTGGATGAAGCCCTAGGTTCAGTGCCCAGAACTGCATAATTTTTGGGATAGTGTTACAAGCCTATAATCCCTTCACATGGGAGGTGGGAGCAGAAAGATCAATTAAGGTCATCCTTAGTTACATATCAAGGTTCAGATCAGCCTGGGACACCCTTGACCATGTGATAAGGATAAAAAAATGAGAGGGAAAGTCCACTTCAATGAAGACCAACTGACAAACTGACAGTCATGCTCAAATTGGTCCCATTTGGTTGGTAGCAAGGGAAGTGAAGTTTCAAGTTAAGAAGCTGTTGATTATAACTGGGTGACACTTAAGGATGATTCTGATCTGTCCTTTAATTGTTCACACTCTTATTCCTCTTAAAGATCCCTGAGGCTCCTATTCTTGTTTGTCAGTCTTTACTCATCGAAGACTTTGTTTCTGCAAGACTCCTGAGGTCATTTTAGGTAAAGTCTTTTAGGAGTAAGGGAGTTACCATTTTGTGGCTCAGTTTTAACACTGCACGTTAGTCCCTGAACTAGGTGAATGTGTTAGTCTGTTCAGGCTACTATAACCAAGCACCATGAGTGGGGGAACTTCATACCATAGACATTGAGCTTTGCTAGTTCTGGAGGCCGTCAGTAGGAGATCAAGGCAGGTATGATTCAGTGGCTGGTAAGAGTCTTCTGTTTCATGGGTGACAGTTCTATGATTCTCAAATATAGAAGAAGCAAAGGAAAACCAGAGTGTCCTCTAGCATCATAACCTAGCCACCTCTCAAAAGTTCCATAACCTTGACAAGGTAACTCCCCAGTACAATAGTGGCACGGATATGGGAATAAGCAGCCACATTCTGACTGGAGCTCAGGCCATGTCCATGAGATAGAGCTCACATCTGATACTATTAAAGGGGCCAAGAACTTGTGGCTAGATAGG